GGGACTCCGGAGACAGCTGAGGAGTACTGGAGGGCCAAGCAGTCCGCAGCCTTGGCTGTTGCTGAGACAAAAGCTCAGATGTGGGAGGACTTTGGTGAGACCTTGGATAGTGACTCTTGGTTGGCTCCGAGGATATTCTGGCAAACCATCAGGTGGCTGAGGGGGTGAAAACAGCACATTACGAACAGTGTTCAGTGAAGGTGGAATGATGTTGACCTCAACCAGTGATGTTGGGAGGCGGAAGGAATACTTCTCAGACCTTCTCAATCCCACCAGCAGATCTTCCATGGAAGAAGCTGAGTCGGGGGAATAAAGGGTTGGTCTGTCCATAACCATGGCTGAGGTTGCTAAGTTAGTTAAAAAGATCTGTGTCTGCATGAATCCAGGTGTGGATGAGATTTGCCCTGATTTCCTTAAGGCTGTGGATGTTGTGGGGCTGTCTTGGTTGACACGCCTTTGCAACATCGTGTGGACATTGGGGGCAATGCCACTGGACTGGCAGACTGGGGTGGTGGTTCCCCTCTTCATAAAGGGGCACTGGAGGGTCTGCTCCAATTATAGGGGCATCACTCTCCTTAGCCTCCCTGGTAAGACCTATTCAGGGGTAATGGAGAAGTGAGTCCATTGCTATGGAATGTTAAGTCCCTATACAAGTGGTCCAAGAATTTTGTTTGCATTGCCGGCAGTAAGTCAGACCCCTTCAGGGTGGGAGTTGGACTCCGCCAGGGCTGCCCATCGTCACCAATTCTGTTCATAACTTTTATGGACAGAATTTCTTGGTTCAGCCAGGGGGTTGTGGGTGTCTGGTTTTGTGTCCTCAGGATTCCATATCTGCTACTTGCAGATGATTTGGTCCTGTTGGTGTCATGGTGCCACAATCTTCAGCTCTCACTGGAGTGGTTCACAGCCGAGTGTGAAGTGGCTGGGATGAGAATCAGCACCTCCAAATCTGAGGTAAATGTCCTCAGTCAGAAAAGGATGGATTGCTCTTTTCGGGTCATAGGTGAGGTTATGCCTGAAGTAGAGGAGTTAAAGTATCTTGGGGTTTTGTTAATGAGTGAGGGAAGAATGGCGCGTGAGATTGACAGACAGCTTGGTGCAGCATCTGCAGTATTATGGACTCTGTGGCAGTTTGTTGTGGTGAAGAGGGAGCTGAGCTGTATAAGGCAAAGCTCTCTGTTTACTGGTCAATCTACCATCCTACCCACATCTATGGCCACAAACTCTGGGTAGTGACCAAAAGAACAAGATTGTGGATACAGGTGGTTGAAACAAGTTTCCTCCGCAGGGTAGCTGGACTCTCCCTTAGTGATATGTTGAGAAGTTTATCCGGGAGTGACTCGGAGTAGAATCACTGCTCCTCCACATACAGAGTAGCCAGTTGAGGTGGTTCGGGCATCTGGAAACAATGCTCTCTGGGCGCCTCCTTAGGAAGGTGCTTTGGGTTTGTCCAGCAGGGAGGAAACCTCAGGGAAGACCCAGGACATGCTGGAGAGACTGTCTCTTGGTTGGCCTGGATATAGGATATGGTCTGGATACATTATTTAAGCCTTGCAGTCCTCCCAGAAGAGCTGGAAGAGGTGGTTGTGGACAGAGATGTACAGGCCTCCCTGCTCAAGCTGCTGCCCCACGACCCAACTTTGGAACAAAAAGAAAATGATGGATGGATCCTAAATAAATAATTGTGTAAAGTGTAACTCTGAATTATCCACAAGTATGAGTGAGAGTGTGAATGGTCGTTTGTCTTGTTGGTCTATGTGCCCCTGTGATGGACTTGTGACCTGTCTGGGGTGTCCCCCACCTCTCACACAGTGACTGCTGGCTTTGGGCACCAGTGATCCCCTCAACCCCAAAAGGAAGAAGCGTGTAATGATAATGGATGGAAGGATGAAAAAAAAAGCTGAAAGGTAATAAAATTGTGTTCTCATCAACCACTTGGAAGTTATTGAGATTGGAATTGTTTTTTAAACAGCAATCCACTTTGGTCTTAACCATGGTTGGACTATCCATGAGCTCAACAATCATTCTGGTCAGGACTAAACTTTATTTCTTTAAATTGAGGCTGTTCTACATCAGGTAAGATAATAAGTGTTCATAACCTTTCCACAGAACCACATTTTTAAAGCTCTGAACTATCACTTTGGTTGTAAAAAAAAATGGGGAAGTACATGTTTTTCCCTTTCCTACCAAGTTAGATAAGAAAACTGAAACAATAATTTGTGTATATCATGTATATATGTGGTTTGGCTCATCAGCTGAGGGGTTTAGTGTGGCATTAAGAAAGAAAACAGGACTAAAGTAGCTTGGCTCTTTCCAAAAGTAACATAATCTCCCTTTAACCAAGACCTTTAACCTCTCCACTTAGGAGGTCTTCGCACTAGGACCATCTGTTATTGAAACTCAACTTGTCGGACATTTTTTTGAGTTTCCTCAAAGAGACAATATTTTTGCTTTTAAGACAAAACAGCCCTCAGCATTGTTGTGCTGAATCTCTTTTGCACCAAACTTAGCAAAGCTGCTTTAGTAAGTTTTAGACTAGAAACTGTTATTTATGCTCATAGAGCAGGAAAAAAATAATTTCAATTTGACAATGAAAACAAGAAGATATACCAGTAACTAAACTTTTTCAAGTGTCTTTTATCCATAAGGGTTAATCCCTTTGGTTTCGTGGTTCTATAGGTGTTGCTGGCAATTATTTGGAAACTTTACAAGTAATTACTAAAACCATCAAATGAAGTGCGTTTGAGTAGATTCCAGTCCCTCTGATAGACTCATGCATCTGTTTTTCTGTAATTTTTATTCAAACCAGACTAAATGCAACATCCAGGTTTGTATTTATCATATAAAATATGACAAATAACATTAACAATTTCATATAACTCAAAAGTATACTTCCCAAAATAATTACTATAGCTATATTTGGTCACTATTACTTTGAGGCATAAAAAGCTCTGGGAAATCACAGCCTTTTCCACTTTTCCACACAGTGTCTGGTCTGTGTTTGGAGGACCAGTTCAGCTCTTCTGTCATAAAAAAATTCTTCCTCTAAACCAGTAATAACCAGTCTCTACACCAGAGACATGTGCTTATTGCCAAATAATCTAACACAGAAAGTAACAATAATGCTCTAATACTTTGTCATTAGTATGTTATATATAGAGGTAGTGATTGAAGCATTTATTGACAGCAATAAACACTGAACAATGAGCATGACAGAAATAAAACAATCTCATCTCAGGAGAGTATAAATACAAAGCTTATCTCAGCAGCCACTGGAACAAAGTTCGGTTGCTTCGGGGCTGACATAAATAATTCATACTCGAGACTGCATGATGTTTCTGGGTATTATTCAAACAGCAGGTTTGGGTGAATCCTCACGATGGGAGAAGGACATGGGAAATATGTTGTTTCCAATCTATTGTTTCTCATTTTCTAATCCCAAGCTACAATATGTCCCAAAAAAATGTTCTCCGTTGAATTTGGCACGGCAGACAGGCTCTGAATGGGTGTAAAAAAAAAAAAAACAGGGTTGAAACTCCCTGACCTGCTACTTCAGTCCTCTCTGAGCTCCTCACACTGACTGACAAGCTGCACAGGAAGTAAGTTTCTCTGAAGCTGTCACATTTCAAAACCCTGTCTCCAGCCCAGCAGCCAAACTATTGTAAAGTAAAACTGAGGAAAAACAAAACAAAACTGAGATTCACTCAGAATACAAACAAGTCATGTCCTGAATGAATAATACTCTCTCCATCCGGTCTCTAACATGCAACAACAATAGCTATGTTTTCCTTTTACTGCACCGGGAACGACTATTTGCTTGGTTTCTGTGTGCCACACACAACACCGCCCCTTCTGATTGTTTGAATTACACATTGTAATATATGGAGTCTCCCATTTGTGACTCATGTGAGCCCTCTCTGTTTAAACTCAATACATAACGGGCCACCCAGCGTGACTCGTTATGCAGAAGGATTAAAGGTAAACACAAACTAAAAAAGAAGAAACATTCTGCAATATAATCTGCAATATCTTTCCAATCAGCTCAACAGAATTATAATAAAATATAAAAGTGACATGTTATAAAATACTCTATGCAAATTTTGCTTTAAATTGCAAAATAAATGAATGACATATTTGTACAAATAAAAGCTTATGGCTACCTGCATTCATTTCACATTGCATGTATGTGTGTAAGTACGAGTGTGTGAGTGGCAGACTGAGTGTTTCTGCATTTTATAGTGTCATCTGTGTTCCTGGTATTAGAAGTGTGAATGTTTGTGTGTGTGAAGCGGTGGAGAGCCGCCAGGCCTCATTATTGTCATTCTCCTCACTGCCTCAAAGAGAGGCAAAGAGAGGAAAAGCGAGGCAAAGCGGCTCCTTTCAATCGAGGAGCTGAGGAGAGACGGACACAAAGAGCTCAAGTTAAACAAATGCCCGAAAGCGGCTTGGAGAGCCAGCCCGTGGTCATACGCTTTGAATAGGAGTGAACGGGTGCAGGGATAGTCCATCTGCGTCTTTCAGCGAGGGGACCACACAGATACCATCCGTCCCAGCAGGCAGCTTAGCTATAAGTCCACGGACACCGGGGTGCCAGCTCATGTGCATGTCCTATATCCTTCTGGTCCATCTCAGAGTTTATCTGGCTATTAATAGCTCGTGGCTGCTGAGATCCATCTTACTTTGCAGTTTCCTTGACAGCAAATAGTCAAATCTTTCAATGAAGCGATGACATTTAGCACACCTGTCTGAGCTGGTCCCATTCGTCCAGTTAGATCCTGTCCAACCATTCCTTTATCCCCTGGTCTTTTTCGCAGTTTGGTGGCAGTTATTGGCTACTTCTTGGAGTTCAGTCTCCATAACAACCCAGCAGAGTACATTCATCTGCAGACGCTGATCACAAGCCTCTGAAAGTTGTAATTTTTCTGGCACCTTCTTCCTCCACTGATGTGACACATGTACATGAAAGCTTTCCCACAAAAGCAAAGGGGGAATATGCTCGCACACATGCAGAAACACAGCACATTTAGGGTGTGATGATGCACTCGTACAGGTTTTAGTGTGTGCTTCTACAAATACATCCTTCAGTTTGAGATGCTGGATGTTCAGGCATCGCCGTTGCTGAGCGTGGGAAATGAATCGAGAAGGAGCTGGTGGAGTTGGAAGAAAGTGGCTGGACCTGTCAAGTCCTGGTTGCTTCACATCTGAAATAATTAATAAAAGAGAGAAACAGGTTTTAGAATGGAAAAAATTGTTTGAGGTACAGTATATAGGGCTAATATTAATACTTTTTTCTGACTTGCTCTCGATGAAGATGGATGCTTTCTATCTCTCTCCTGCCTCCCTCCTGCTTTTGCTCTTGTCCTGTGTATCTTTCTCAGAGCCTCTCTTTACACATCTTCCGAATCATAAATTATGGCTCTGATCAGCTAGTCTCTCACCGCAATTGATAAAATGTTCTTGACGAGAAAACAAGGTGCAGGAGAACCCTCATGCCCTGAAGGGACACACATAGCTGGATATATCATGGATTCCTGGGGTGAATTGAAGATGATGTGTTTGTCCATATTATTCGTTGAGGAGGTTGCTGATTTGCACATAATTGGATTACAACAACAGGATTATCTGCTTTTTGGAATCGGCGGGTACCTGGGATATCGACAAATTAGGAAGACGTCGGCAGCACTTTTGGCAATGGTGAGGCTGCCTGCCTATGTGGAGGATTGCACCGTGCTTCAAGCGCTCAGACTCAGATGCTTTACGAGTCTGGAACTCACTGGCATGAAGGAATTGACCTTGGAGAAGGCTACAAGCACGGACCGGCGGAATGACCACAAATCTGGCTGTTTGGATTCGCCATTGAGTGTACCAGCAGAGCTATGAAGGCAGACGGGAAATCAGCAGAGTCGGACTGCCCCAAAACAATTGTTGTTTATTTGAACCCGGCTTCCCCACTTGGCCTTGGACAGGCCATTGCTCCTGAAGGATATGTAAATCATGAAGCTCTGCTTGTGCCCCCCCATCCCCCCGAGAACATCTGTGGACCTTATCAGAGCTGAGCCGGCTGATAGACACTGTGCCATCTTTATCAGGACTATGGAACTTTCTGGAAGCGTTCACAGACAATCTCACCCCCGTTGTCGGCCTCCCCCCGAATGTCTTATGTCTATCTCTGCTTTTTTTGTGCTGAGGTAGTTTTTTGCTACCTTATACTGTACTCTGTGTGTCAAGGACACAGTGTGAGAGATATTTTTTATACCTTCTTTCTGCATGTTTTTCTTCCCTTTTCTTATCTAAGCGATAAGGGCAGCGCTTCACAACTAAGCCTCAGCCTCCGTGCACCTCCGTCTACCTTTGGACGGCTGCACTGAAATGTATTTTCGCTGTGCTTAACTGTGCAATGCCAATAAAGTTGATTCTGATAAACTACTAGGTGATACAGTAAGAATGTTCTTCTCAAAAGCCTTTGTTTTGATAAAAGTATATTTTCTACACTAAATATCCCATCTTTGGAAGGTTTTTGGGAGTTATGTTGAAATTTCATGGTGGTGTTTAAAAAAATGAAAGGACCCAACAATTGACCAGAAACAGGCAGAAGTCCAAAATCCAAATTTAAAGAGGGAGTCAAACTCTGGCTGGCAGTCAGTGGAGCAACCGTAGCAGACAAAGACAGCAATTGTCATAGTCTGTGTTTTTGTTGTGCTTATTTATTTAGTTTATCTTTTTTTTTCTTTGTGTGGTTTGTTTTATGGGCAGCACGGTGGCACAACTGGTAGAGCTGCTGCCTCTCAGCGAGCAGGTCCTTGGTTCAAACCCCGGTCCAGGGGCCTTTCTGGGTGGAGTTTGCATGTTCTCTCCGTGCATGCGTGGGTTTTCTCCGGGTACTCTGGTTTCCTCCCACAGACCAAAAACATGCATGTTAGGCTGATTGGTAACTCTAAATTGTCCCTAGGTGTGAGTGAGAGAGTGAATGGTTGTTTGTCTCGTTTGTCTCTATGTGGCCCTGTGATGGACTTGCGACCCGTCCAGGGTGTACCCCGCCCCTCGCACAGTGATTGCTGGACATGGGCACCAGCGACCCCCGTGACCCAAAATGGAATAAGCGGGTAAAGAAAATGGATGGATGGATGGATGGTTTGTTTTATTTTTCTGTCTCTTGTGGTTCAGCTCCCTGTGTTTCCTTGTCATTTCTTGTACCCTCAGTCATCCTCCTCAGTTGTTCTTCAGCCAGTTTACCACTTACACCTATTTCCAACCAGTAACCATGAAGGTGCTGCCACTTTCCACCACCCCCATCTGATTTAAGCTATCTCTTGCCAACAACAAAACAGCGATTCATTGTCTTGACTACCTGTCAGACGTCTCGGTCCTCCCTTTAGTGCTCTCCTGTGTTATGTAAGAAGCTGCTGCCACGTCAGCCCTTTGTTTTCAATTATTTAATAAAACAAGTTTTATTTTACCCGAGCTCATCGTGTCTGCCTGCATCTGGGTTCAATCCCTTCACGATCGTGATAGCAATCAAAAGAGCAAATAGTTTGGAAATCCCAAAGATCTATTCAAATAAGCTTCAATGAAACATGAAAACAAGAAATTAGGTATGAAACATAACAAAATAGACAATGCTCTAAAGAATGTGCATCAGTGAATCTTAAAAAAATTAAAAAAGGTTTGGCCAAAGACATTAAAAGCTGCTCATTCCTGAACGCAACATGATCTTAGTTTAAACTCTGGCAGCAGGTTGCGTTTTGCTCTTGTGTGAACTGACTTGCAGCGACGACCGTTGAGACTCTGGCCTTTTCTCCTGCAGTTCTCAGCTCGGATGGTGCATCTGCACTGACATGAGGTCGCATCCAGGGCCCACTTCCTTCCTCTGCAGGGGCGGCATCGAGGAGTCGGGGAGGGCGAGGGTGAAGGAGGTAGAGTGGTAGGAGGAGGCGACGAAGGAGGAGAGGGTGTGGAAGGAGAAGACGTGGAAGGAGGAGCTGGAGAAGCATGGGTTCTGGATTAGAAGAGACCAAAAACCAGTGCAGTTAGCTTCAGAATTACTCACTGGATATTCTAAAGTTTTAAGCAACAAATGAAATGTGATACAATATTTAAATCAATTCAATTCAGTTTATTTATATAGTCACAACAGAAGTCATATCAAGGCACTGAACAGAAACATTAATATATTTAAAAATAAGTTAACACTATTTAAGCAGACTGCTTTGAATTTAACTCCATCACAGAACTCTCATCTTGAGCAAGAACGAAGGCAACAAAGGAAAAACTCCCTCTAGAGGAAGAAACCTCCAGCAGAACCAGGCTCAGGACAAGCGGCCATCTGCTTCGACTAGCTGGGATTGAGAGGAACAGGAAGGAGGAACGGATACACAATGGCAGGTTGAGAACCACATGTTAAGGTAGAAATAATATCAAATGCAAACTATTCAATTTTAACAATTCATTTAAGAAATGTGGTTAATTTGTCATCCAGTAGTCTAAGCCTATAGCAGCAAAACAAGCCAACCTTAACTATAGGATTTATCTAAAAAGAAAGTCTTAAGCCCAGTTTTAAAACTGTAAAATGTGTCATCCTTATGGACAGAAACTGGAAGTTGGTTTGACAAGAAAGGAGCCTGATAACTGAAAGATCTTCCACCCATTCTGCTCTTGGAACCTCTAGGAACCACAAGTAAGCCTGCAGTCTGAGAGCAAAGTGCTCTGTTAGTAAAATATGGAACAACAAGATCTCTAATGTATGATGGAGCTAGGTTGTTGGGGGCTTTGTAGGGTAGAAGTAATTTGAATTCTATTCTGAATTTGACAGGGAACCAATGGAGAGAAGTTTAAAAAAAATAGTAACCAGTACACTCCATATAACCATACTATAATACATTTTATTTTCCTTTTTGGGGAAGTTGCTTTAGACCTAATGCTCTCTCAAAATATGACTTTACAAAGTATCAAAATGACACTAACTTTCCCAACATTCACTATTCAGTATTAAACACAGTGCAGTTTAGTCTGATAGGAATGTTTTTGCTCTTCTAGAATTTGGTCTAAACAGGTTTACTCCTGATTGTGATGGCAAATTTAAGGGATGTTATGGTTTTTATTAATCACAAGTGAACCATGGCTCTCCTGGCCAAAATTCATGACAACATAATTTTATTTATTTAATTTAGAGCCACTAATGTCCAGTTTATGAATGGCTTCATCAACCGCAGATCATAAATTAAAAAAAGAAAAAAAGTACCGAGTCTGTCCACTAATTATTGAAATATTTCAGTGTGGACAAAAGCGATGGAGCTTCTGAGTGGCTAAAAATGAAATGCGGAGCTTGTTAGAACATGCACACACAGCCTGCCTGAGACAAACCCCAACAAAGCTGTGTGTGGGAGATGTGTGACTAATGTGGGATAATGTTTCCTTAGCTGCTGACAAACTAGCTCCTTTTTCTGTCCGTCTGTCTCTCTGTCTGTTTCCATGGCTATATGTTCGCCTTGCTGCCTTTCAGGTCTTCAGTTCCACCTCTAGATGCCCTGCACTTTTGCTCTCCGAGGCCTGGGTCTGAGAAAGTTGCCTGTGTCAGTCGGTCCATTAACTGGAGCTAGTTCTGCCTCAGTCCTCCCGGGAGACCGGCGGTGTTAATGAAGTTACTTAATGAGGCAGAGAGGGGCCATCTTTGTTCCCATCGCCAGTGACCACGCCTGCTGCTGGCATGGACAGAGGAGATGGCATTTGGGAGCAAATTACACAGATTTCATCCCTGCCAGAGCCTGAATAAAGCCTTTTCTGAGTGATGGATGGGTGCTGAGGGACATCACACCCAAACGGAGCCACCTCTGGCCCCCTGGGGGCTGGAAATGACTGACAGCAAAGCAGATAAAAAAAACACTGGAGAGGAAAAGAGCGCCGACTCTTTTATCTTTCTCCACTCAGGACTCATGGGCCCATGTTTTTATACATGTGGTGAAATTATAAAACACAACATGTCATCCTGCTCAGAGCAAATAGTGCTGATAACCATGACTAAGCAGTTTAACAGTGGATTATAGTGTGTGTGTGTGTGTGTGTGTGTGTGTGTGTGTGTGTGTGTGTGTG